TTGCAAGATGACATCTTATAGCTTTTTTTGACGTTTTATAGGTTTTTTACAAGATACCCATGCCGATCACGTTTTGTGTCTTTGATGGCATTAGTAAGTCGTCAGCTAATATGTATATTTGAGAAACTTGGTTACTCTATTAGTGGTGCTACCTACACGTTTCGCTGGTGAAACCGCGGTCACAAAACTAGTCTTATATAACTCATAAATTCTGTAATGCATAAAAGGTGAACCTTAGACGACCTCCTACCATCTATGAAGGTTGCAGTGTGTGTATTGTTCTGCTTAATTAATTAATTATGGCGTCGCAACTCGATTGTTACCAATATAATTGCACTGGTTAGTTTCAGTATGTAACATTGACTATATATGTAATTATAGCAAATGCCGTGGGACCAGATGCGATAGTTGATGAGATTGGGCACCTATGTTTATCGGATTTTTATTGGAAGCAAAACTAAAAAAATTCGCAAAATATACCGTGTGGTGTATGAAAAAGCGCCTGAGGAACAGGTGACTACGAAATTCTTGGATTTTGATTTTTTCAAAGTTATGTTCATGTTTGGATGGAATCAACTGTAAGATGTAAAACAGACTTTAATGGCCCCATTATGTAGCAGATACAAATACTTTCAATGAAATAATGTATATTTTTGATGTATCTTCTGAGAACAGATAAATTAGGTGAGAAGCAATAATAGGATAAGAAAACAGCTGCTACGTGCGGAAACACAACAGAGGGTGTTGGTTTGAAAACTTCCCACCACGGATTTATCGAAAACCACTGATTAAAAGAAAAAACGCCAAGTCATGTCAAAAGATTTGTCAAGGGGGACAACTTTTTAATCAAATACTACTTCACTCCTTTGAAGATTTTAAATGACAAGGGGTATCAAGAGTCAGCTTGTTTGCAAGATCTTTCAAAGTCCTTTATTTTATCTTATCTTCCCCGGATGTCTGACGTTAAACGTCACGGCAGTTTGCCGAGCACATTGATTTTGGGCACCATAAATTAGAATGAAAAGAATGCGGAAAAAAGTCGGGTTGTTATTTAGTTGTTGCCACGACTAATCCTCCGAATTGCTGTTTATGTTGGTAGTTTACGCTTTAAATTATAAACGAATTGTAGATTTGGCAAACCCTAACGGGCAACATTTTGAGCACTTTTTGAAATAAAAATGGATATTTTTGTGTGTTTTTGTTTTCTATGTGAACAAATTAAGATAAATAAAATGTTTTCTAATTTTCTCGAAAACGAATCTACTGATTTAAAAAAATCAATCGTCAAAATAAAGGGCTTTCAAACAAGTTATTACTTGATGCCCCTTGTCATTTCAAATTTGTAAATGGGTGACCCTGGGGGGTAGAGAGTGAAAGGGGTGAAGCAGTTTTTGGTTAAAAAATTGTCCTCCTTCACAAACCTTTTGATGTGTCTCCCATTAATGCCAAAAGGTCAATACATTGTAGTATCTCTGTATGCATTTTCTCGGACCTATACATCGTTGCTACGGTAAAGTCAATCACAAAACAAAAAATTTGGTATTAAAGGAATATTTTAGATGTTTTGCGGTGGAATTTTTATTCAAAACATAAGTTATCAGGAGAAAGCAATTAGGCAATTACAAGTTAGTACATTAAGGCCCCACAAAGTATGTTTCAATCGTTTTTTAAATATGTATCCTAGTGACGAGAATTCGATAAAACCCAGGTCGAGCCTAAAATTGTTGTTACAATAACTACTTACAATTTACTTTAGGTTAGTAGTTAGCTTTCCCAAAATAATGCTCTGTGGAACATGGTCAGTAATCATTGATGTGTTCGTGAAAGTGATATTCTTCGTGATTTGAATATCGTTATGGAGATCGGTGAGATCAAGAAAGTAGCGGCCAGGTACGATGAAGGGTTGCATCAACGACCTAATTCAAAAGCTTTTCACCTGCTGTACAACCGCAATGTTATCCGTTGTTTGAAGTCATACGATCGTGTTTTGAGTGTAAAGCAGAACTTCACGCGAGTTCTTAGTGAAAGTTTTAGTTATTTAATATTTCAGCTCTAGTGATGAGGATTAGTTGGTAAGAAGACACTGGGAAATTAATCGGTCAACTTTATTATTCGGGTATCAGGCACACTCTGAAACTAAAAGAGAAAAAAAAACTGACATAGCACACTGATCTAGACATTGCCTCTAAATATTCCGGGACGCTTTGCAATTCTCTTTGAAATACGTTCCGCGGCAGAATGTTCGAGACGTTAAAGCTGCGGAGACGAGAAGGAAGTACTGATTGTGTTTCCCCCTGATTTTACTACCAATTAGTTCCAACAGCTTGTCAAACCTTGGGATACTTATCCCCATAATTTTATTGATCTCTTTCCACCCATAATTTGAGATAAAAACAGTGCTTTCAGAGTCCCTAATTGAGGAACGTTTTGTTGACTTTGTGTCCCTTATTGAGCCTCAGCCGATGTGGTATCACCATCAAAATGAAAGTAGGATATTGGGATTGCTCGACCATTTTAAAAAAGAATATGTCAACAAGTTGCCCTTTTTTAGTATATATGATTGGGAGCAATCTTGGAACTAAAATTTGAACGTCCACTGTTCTTCGACGAAAGGATCGAAGGTTCTAGAGATAGAACTCAGCTGTGCCAACAAATCCTACTCTCATGTTCTCGAAGACATACGTCCCGTAATCACCGGCGTGCAATGGGTGTGCGTTATGTACCGGACGAGAGAGGGTGAAAGGCGAGTTTCTGGCGCCTGAAAGCGAGAACTTATCGGCAAAGGGAATAAACCCCGACAGAAAAGTCTGGTCCTCTAGGTTGGGGGTGAATCGATGGGCCAACCCCCGTCAGTCGTCAAGAATTTTACGAGTTAAAAACTTCAATCAAATGCCTCGGAATCCGGATGATAAAAATAGAAGACGACAACGGCAACGGAAATGGATAATGAATTTTGGAACATGGAATATTCAAGGGATAGATACTTAGCGTCGAGAAGTTTTTGATGAAATGAAAAGAATGAAAATAGGTATTGACGTCTTAACAGAAACTAAGAAAAAGGGATGAGGAAATGAACAGGTAGATGATTATATAATGTTTTATAGTGGAGTAAACAAAAAGGAGAGAGCAGAAAGCGGAGTTGCAATAACAGTGCACAATAGACAAAAGTCAAAGATAACAAGTTGGGAAGAAATAGATGAAAGGATAATGACGTTACAACTGAAGAAAAATGGATATGACATTGTCATTGTGGGAGTTTACGCTCCGACAGATGACGCAGAGGTTTTGATTAAAGATCAGCTTTATGAGACTTTGACACAAGTTCTGACAAACATCAATCCAAAGAAGGAAATTTTTATCCTTGGTGACTTGAACGCTCGTAATGGATGTTTTATGGATAGGGCAGTTGTTGGAAGATATGGTGAAGAGGCACTCAACGACAGTGGCCAAAGATTAATTGACATGTGTGAGACATTCTCATTAAGGATTATGAATGGATTTTTTCCTCACAAAATGATAGACAAATATACACGCAGTCAACCAAAACGAAAACTAACAAGTATCATAGACTATATGATCCAACGACAGAGTTCTTTATTAAAAATCAGAGATGTGAGAGTGCAGAGAGGACCTGATTGCGGTGCCGATCATTTCAGGGTGAAGGCGAAAGTGCTAGTTAACAACAGACGTTTTCGAAAACAAAAGCAAGACATAAGCACAGATAACACAGAACAAAACTTAGAGCTTCCCAAATACAATTTGTTGTTGAGACTGGCTAATGAAATACAGAAATTAGAAGAAGGAACAGCAGAACCCGTACATGAACAATTTAAAGAGTGTATTCATGAAGCTGCAAGAGAGGCTCTAGGAGAAACTGAAAGAAGTAATAGAATAAATAAAGATTGGTGGACAGAAGAGTTGGAAGATGAAGTCAAACATAAGAAAGAAGCATATCATAGGTGGCTAGCAACGGGAGACTATGAAGGTAGAAAGGTTGAATAGAGAAGTTAAAAGGGACCTGAAAAGAAGAAAAAACGACATTTGGGAGAAAAGGTGCGAGCAAGTCAACCGATATATGGGGGGCACGAAAGTATCGGAGGCATGGAAAACCGTGAAGAGTCCCAGAAAGGACAATAAGAGTAGTAGCAAAATCACGTTGATAAAAATTAGTGATTGGGAGCACTACTACCAAAAATTACTGACAGAAGAAAGACCTTAATTTAAGGAGAGATCAATAGCGGAAGATGAAAATGTTGGAGATGCAATTGAGGAAATCAGTGCAACAAAACTGAAAAAGGCTTGAAAATGTATGAAGAATAGGAAAGCTGCTGGACCTGGAGGTATTCGTATAGAGTTGATGAAATATGCACCGGATATAGTGCTGGATAAATTACTGAAGGTATTCAACAAATGCCTTTTGGATGGTGACGACATTCCAAATGATTGGAAAATAGGATATATCAGTTCTATACACAAAAAAGGTAGTAAGAAGGTATGTTCTAACTATAGAGGCATAACAGTATCCAGTTCTATAGGGAAACTGAAGGGCCGAATACTAAAAATAAGAATAGAGCAGGATTTCATGGAAATTGACGAGCAATCAGGTTTTTGAGCTGGGAGAAGATCCTGTCTAGATAATATCAGTATATTACAGAAATTTAAGCACCCATTAATTTAATGTTTATTGATTTAGAGAAGGCCCACGAAAACGTGCCAACTAATAAATTGTTCGAAGTTTTACATGAAGTAAATATGAATCAGTTTTATATCAGAGCCACTAGAACGTTAAATAGGAATACAGAGTGCGTAATCAAACTAAATAACGGGGTGCTGCCTTTCCTCAACCCTTTTTAAAATATATATACAGAAAGCCTTGAGCAACTGGATGAAAAAGTGCCATAGAATGGGGATTGAAATCGCTTTTGTATATATTACTTTTTGCGGATGGCCAAGTATTGATAGCAAGTGATGAAGAAGACATATATGACTAGAAAACTTATACAAGAATACTGTGAATGGCGGTTGAACATCAATGTTACTAAAACAGAATATCTTGTTATTGGAGACAAGCCCGCTGATCTTCAGATGGACAATGTAGTTATAAGACAAGCCCAGGAGTTCAAATATTTGTGAACCTATATAACATCTGACGGTTCAACAAAAAAAGATATACAAAGCAGGATTGTTCAGGGTAAAATCTCAATTCAGAGATTGAATTCCATTTTATGGTGTTCCAGAATTAGCATTAACACGAAAGTTCAATTTTATCACAGTATCGTGGAGCCAATAACTACATATAGAGCTGAGTGCTGGCGCTTACATCAGAAATAGAAAAGCAGCTAAAAGCCGTTGAAATGGACATCCTACACCGGTCGTGTAGAGTATCTAGGTTGGACCATATCCGAAACGATATGAGCTGAGAAAGGACGTGTGTACAAGATACCATTGTAGATAGAGTGGAAAGAAGACAACTAGCATGGTATGCCCATGTCATGAGGATGGCTGATGAAAGATGGTCAAGGAAGATGGTATCATATATCCTAACCAACAGAAGGAAAAGACGTAGGCCAAAAACATCGTGGATGAAAGGGATAGAAGAAGCCATGAGGAAAAGGGAAATGAATGAAGGAGGTTGGGAGAACAGAAGAGAATGGCGATTGAAGTGTGAGAAGCGGTAGCAGCCGTAAGACCTTCGCTATCTCGCTATATATATATATATATATATCTTGAGACGTGGTCATTGTCGTCTAGACCAGTTAGGTGAAAAATTAAAGCTTCCGCTTTTTGTTGGGTACTTCGACAAGATTTAAGCAAAGAGGACTCTTTATACTTTTTTTAATTCTCTCTAGCTTTCAATGGACTTTGCCATCATCATCAGGAGCTGTAATTACAATGATAACAGTAGCAACAAAGGTGTAAAATGAATTTAAATTGACTCAACTTACAGTAGTATGTGAGAATGTTGCTAATTGTTGTTTTCGTATAGGATGAGGGAAACGTCCAGTAACATGGTGAGAGCTGAATAGGTTGCACAATAGTCAAAATTTATACAAAACATGACAGAAACACGTTAAAAACAGATTAAAAATTATTTTAAAAAATTAGAACATTACATCGTGAAACCACCTGATGATTGCACAAATTAGTGGTCATGGAATGATGAATTGATGAGTGACATGAAACCCTTTGACAGAAGGCCGAAGGATGTCAATGTCAGTATTGAAAGATGGAACGAATTGTGGGCGTGTGCCAAAAACGTTGCTAAATCACTTCAGATGAAGAGATTTTCAGAATTTTATGATGGAATTTGTTAAACCGACCAGAGGCAGTTGAATAAACTATATTATTATTAATGGGAATTTAAATTAACAATTATTAATAAATCGTGAGGAGAGAATTATTATATTTTGAGTGGAATGAAATTTACTGGTGGAACCGGCCAAAACACAGATTCTAATTATGGTTGTGAAGAGTTGAAATTTGGGGAGATATGTAAGTTCTCCAATTTTTCGCAGTTTAGCAAATATGAGTAAATGACACTCAGTTGTTTAACATCTGTCTTTTTGTTGATACAGTTGTTATTCATGAAAATGTGGGACATTTCCAGGAATAAACGTTTGGAAAGGTGTTTTTCTTTATCAAGAACTTTGATACTTGTGTAATTCATAGAATGCCCTGTTGTGTTAACATGAGATGCTAGAGCGCATCTTTCAGGATGAAGCCTAGCATCACTTTTGTGTGATGTAATCCTTCCTTTAAGAGATCTGGAGGTCTGACCTATGTATATTTGGTTGCAGTTGTTGCAATTGATGGAGTAGACTGTGTTGGTTAAGCCAAGCAGCGGGACTTTGTCTTTCATTTTTGAAAAAATGCAGTTTATAGTGAGGACGGATTTGCAAGCAATTCGAAAGTTCAAAGGACTGCACAATCTGATCAGCTTAGGGGTCAGTTCCTTGATGTAGGGCAGGACAGCAAAACCAGGTCTGGAGTCCGGGTTGGTGCTAGTACTGTTAGGATTGATGTTGTTATTGGGAATTACATCAGTTCCGTTATTAGGGGTTGTGCGACTATTACCTGCATCACATTCGTTCCATCTTTCAATACTGACATTGACATCCTTCGGCCTTCTGTCAAAGGGTTTCATGTCACTCATCAATTCATCATTCCATGACCACTAATTTGTGCAATCATCAGGTGGTTTCACGATGTAATGTTCTAATTTTTTAAAATAATTTTTAATCTGTTTTTAACGTGTTTCTGTCATGTTTTGTATAAATTTTGACTATTGTGCAACCTATTCAGCTCTCACCATGTTACTGGACGTTTCCCTCATCCTATACGAAAACAACAATTAGCAACATTCTCACATACTACTGTAAGTTGAGTCAATTTAAATTCATTTTACACCTTTGTTGCTACTGTTATCATTGTAATTACAGCTCCTGATGATGATGGCAAAGTCCATTGAAAGCTAGAGAGAATTAAAAAAAGTATAAAGAGTCCTCTTTGCTTAAATCTTGTCGAAGTACCCAACAAAAAGCGGAAGCTTTAATTTTTCACCTAACTGGTCTAGACGACAATGACCACGTCTCAAGTTACATCCACAGATTTGGGGTTTTTCAATAACATCACAGAACGTCATGGGAACCAGGCAGTAAGAATGATGAAGGACTGGATCAAGGGCAGAAAACGACTGGCACAGGAGATCAATCGACGGATTTTCTTATTAAAATGTAGAAAACATGGCATTACACCACATCACATCACCCACCGTTTAACATCAATCACACACTTACTAGAAAGCCATTCAATAGAAGATGGGATGAAAAATCGTCTGCACAGGTTAGGTGACAAAATACTCACGCTTGAGATATCTTCCTGCCACAGACAGTTGAAAAAACTTCATTCCATACTCAATTCACTCCAAAGTGACATAATTTCTTCCACTTCTCCCTTAATTTTTGATAATTTCAAATATAGACAACTCAGACATTACAATAAAATCTTTCATAACATAAAAAACTCCAACACTCGTAAGTTTGACAGATTGTTGAATGACACCAAAAAAACCTTCCTCAACACTCAACAAAATTGGATAAAAAATCTCAGTAACGTTGACATCCCTCATGACATATTAAAATTTCTTTCCTTAGGGCCTAAGTTCAGTGTAGAGCCGATTGTTAACAATGACATTCCAATCAGATCAATCTTAGCGGATGTAGACACAATAGCATCCTCCATAAGTGATGACACTGAAAGAAACATTTTCACAACTCGTTCCACTAACCTCATCACTAACTACTATCATAATAATAATCTTAATAAAAAACATTCCTTTTATCACAACCTTTTAAACATAACTAGAACATTTCTAAAACAACATCCTGAACTTATGGTTACAAGATCTGACAAAGGCAATGTTACAGTGATAATGCTTAAACAACACTATTTAGATCTTTGCAACAATCTCATCAATGATGACCCATCATATCATGAAATTAATAAAGATCCCACACTTAAAGTGGAAAAGAAAAGTAATGACATTGTTAAGGAACTCCTCAGCACTGGACAAATAACCCAAGAACAAAAAAGAACTTTGACTACTTATAACTCTGTCCCTCCCAAATTTTATGCACTTCCGAAAATTCACAAACCTGTACTCTCAGTAAGACCTATAGTTGCATCAATAGGTTCAGCCACCCAGGCTTTGTCTTCATTAATATCGACAACACTAAAATCAGCACATGCAGACAATGATTACTACATCAAAGACTCATTTGAGGTCTCTCGTCAGTTCAATAGATTGACAATACCAGCCGATCATATTATCGCCAGTCTTGATGTGGTGTCGCTATTCAGCAACATCTATCTGGATGCATGTACAAGAACTATTAATAAACACTGGAATGAGATAAGTCAACACTGCAACATATCTCTAGAATCTTTCACCAACATTATAACATTCCTTTTTCATAACAATTATTTCTCTTTCAACAACAAAATATATTCTCAAACACATGGTTGTCCTATGGGATCTGTTCTGTCACCAATTTTGGCGGAATATGTCATGGATGATCTGCTTGATACAGTTATTCCGACACTACCCTATAACCTCTTCTTCATAAAAAAATACGTAGATGACATTATTTTATGCCTCCCTTCCATAGGTCTGGATGGTATTGTCAGAGAATTCAACAGCTATGACCCCTACATCCAATTTACCATTGAAAAAGAAGATGAGAACCTGTCTGTCCCCTTTCTAGACACAAGACTCATTCGCACCAACAACAACAGTTTATTGGTAGACTGGTACCAGAAACCTATGGCCTCAGGTCGGTTTCTCAATTTTAGGTCATACCATAAGCTAGGGATTAAAATCAATTTGGTAAAACAGATGAAAACAAGGGTAATCAGCATCTCAGATAATACCTTCCACACCTCAAATTTACGTAAACTATCAAAACTGTTCATCAATAATGGTTATCCGAAGTGTCTGATTAACAAGATCATTTTTAGTTCACCTTCCAATATTTTGCTGAACTCTGGTGATGCAGGTAATAGTCGCACAACCCCTAATAACGGAACTGATGTAATTCCCAATAATAACATCAATCCTAACAGTACTAGCACCAACCCGGACTCCAGACCTGGTTTTGCTGTCCTGCCCTACATCAAGGAACTGACCCCTAAGCTGATCAGATTGTGCAGTCCTTTGAACTTTCGAATTGCTTGCAAATCCGTCCTCACTATAAACTGCATTTTTTCAAAAATGAAAGACAAAGTCCCGCTGCTTGGCTTAACCAACACAGTCTACTCCATCAATTGCAACAACTGCAACCAAATATACATAGGTCAGACCTCCAGATCTCTTAAAGGAAGGATTACATCACACAAAAGTGATGCTAGGCTTCATCCTGAAAGATGCGCTCTAGCATCTCATGTTAACACAACAGGGCATTCTATGAATTACACAAGTATCAAAGTTCTTGATAAAGAAAAACACCTTTCCAAACGTTTATTCCTGGAAATGTCCCACATTTTCATGAATAACAACTGTATCAACAAAAAGACAGATGTTAAACAACTGAGTGTCATTTACTCATATTTGCTAAACTGCGAAAAATTGGAGAACTTACATATCTCCCCAAATTTCAACTCTTCACAACCATAATTAGAATCTGTGTTTTGGCCGGTTCCACCAGTAAATTTCATTCCACTCAAAATATAATAATTCTCTCCTCACGATTTATTAATAATTGTTAATTTAAATTCCCATTAATAATAATATAGTTTATTCAACTGCCTCTGGTCGGTTTAACAAATTCCATCATAAAATTCTGAAAATCTCTTCATCTGAAGTGATTTGGCAACGTTTTTGGCACACGCCCACAATTCGTTCCATCTTTCAATACTGACATTGACATCCTTCGGCCTTCTGTCAAAGGGTTTCATGTCACTCATCAATTCATCATTCCATGACCACTAATTTGTGCAATCATCAGGTGGTTTCACGATGTAATGTTCTAATTTTTTAAAATAATTTTTAATCTGTTTTTAACGTGTTTCTGTCATGTTTTGTATAAATTTTGACTATTGTGCAACCTATTCAGCTCTCACCATGTTACTGGACGTTTCCCTCATCCTATACGAAAACAACAATTAGCAACATTCTCACATACTACTGTAAGTTGAGTCAATTTAAATTCATTTTACACCTTTGTTGCTACTGTTATCATTGTAATTA